GATATAACACTGAATCTGCTGCGACAGCGGTAAACAGCTGCTAGGTAAATGCCGTGATCAAAGACATCTTCTTATGCATATCAGGCACCTTTGGGCGCATTGCTGCCACCCTCAGGACACTGGCTTGTGCATAATTTTATGGGCATTACGCTGCCATGCGTTATGCATAAGTCAGGCTGTAATTGGACGCCCTGGACTCTTTATAAATTACACTACACATACGCCCAAAATTAAATAATTCATAGAAAGTTCAGCATATGCCAGCGTTTAAGGAGATTTTGGGATGTCAGGCATATGCTGGCTAATTCTGCAAGGTGTGACAGGGCCTTAAGCAGCAGAGAAGAGTCGTTTCAACTGATGCGGCCATCCCAAATGATGGAAAATTTAGGAAAAAGCAAGAGAAACTGGTGAAATAAAAAAAGATAAACCCACCAGGGAAGAACTAGAAAGAGCCTGATAGGTGAAGGCAACTGTTGTGTCTTTGGTTACTGGAGCAGCTGCAACAGTAACTCCCACACTGGAGAAGTGGTTCCAACAGATATGTGGAGAAGCGCTAGACATCTCAGTCCAGAATGGCACAGTTGTATGGACAGCTAGGACACAACGAAAAATCCTCATGCTCCTAGGCCTTGAGTAGAGGACCCCAGCTTAATATAAGGGGACAGTCACCCTGCCGAGGAGTACGAGAGTCATGTGAGCTAATCAGTTTTCATCCTACAGTAAGGTAGATCTAATGTGCAACATGTTTTAGCCAAGATAGGGTTATGGGGTTTTTCTGTTTAGTTGATACGGGTTGAACAATTTGCACGGCTAGCAGTAAAAAAAAACCTAATCAATCATGAGATTGCAGATAAGAACACTAGAACCAGCCAAGAACAGTTTTTTATGACTATTACACATTGCCATCCCTCCTCAGGTACAGCCAATTACGCCAGAAGAGGATGCGCTAGCAGCTACTTAAGGCTGAGGACGCCTATCAGCCAACTCCGAACACACCCTGTCCCTGCTAGGGGAATAAAGAGAGCTTGTTAAGTACAACAAGACACAAAGGAGTTGTCAAGGACTGTGTGGTTTTCATGGCAGGTATGCTGTATATTATATGGTCCTTTTTCCTGAAAAAGTATGTATGACAGAAAAAGAAATCCAAAGGCAAAAAATGTGCACTCTACTGAATGCTGAGCAATCTTTTGGATTATTTACTGCTGACTGCTTTGCAGAAAGGGAGCAAGGACAAACCGTCCTTGCCCCAACTTTGATTACTTTCACTTCTTTTTAATTTCTCATTATTTTACACTGTCTTGCTCCACCTTTTCTTGTAAATTATTATTCACACTATGGGACTACTTCGCTGTAAAGTAAAAGAAAAGAAGGAAGCAAAGATGAAGAGCATAAAAAGGGATTTACCGTAAATGTTGGACCCAGAGATGTTCATAAGACCATTCTTAAGAGTTCAGGTCAAACTTTTAGTTACTAAAAAAAATACTGGCAAGGTAATAATGAATTGAAATGCAATTACCTTTATGTGTAATGTACCATATCTATTTAGTAGGGATGTTTTTCTTTTTTCAAAATGTAACTGAACAAAGAGGACACATGTTATTGGTAAATCTATCTATCTGTAATTTGAAAAACCTATTATTTAGATTGTGTTGGTATAGAATATAATATTTTATAAGAATTTATTTCTCTGCATTTACATGTTTGTTTTGCAGTTCATGACAATTCCAGATCTTGTTTTAAAATTGGAAAATACCTAATGCTAATTAAAGCAAGATTTTTAATACAGAAGTGTATTTTTTGTAAATATCATGGGCTGTTTAATAGTTGAGAAGACTGATCCAGCAGAATGTCATTGGCACCATCCTCAAGGTTGATGCCACACAAAAAGTAATTGTTAAAGAATCTAGCTGGAGACAAATGACTAGATGGAAAGTTGATTGGAAGGTAAGGTCATAGAAAAGAGTTTTCTAGATGCATTGATAACCACAACCTTGGGAGAATAGTAAATCAAAGCATATTTTATTCATATGAATTTTCCTCATCAGTGTTTATTTGAAGAGCCTTGTCACCTGCTGATGTTTATTCACTTTGTTTAATGAACCCTTCCTGCTTTGGTCCAAGCTTAATGGTAAAGCTGATTTGAATTCCCAACATTTAGACACTTGTAAACAAGGACAAAACATACCTACCTGTTTATATTCTTAAACAACAACATGGTTTAACTTTACTTGACTATTCAAAAAAACTCACCTCCTCAAACCCGAAAATTTTTTATGGGGCATTGTCCACAGCAAAATGAGAACCACTAAAGCAAATAATGCATATAAGTCAAATGTGGTCAAATGCTCAGCAACCTCAGCAGATTCTCAGACTGATCCCTTTGATTCCATGCTGCATCGATGTGGCAATTAATGGTAAAGGATCGCCAACCATGTATTAAGCGCATCTTTGTGAATAATAGACATAAATTTCAGATGTCCAATAAAATTTTAGATTAAACCCTTTTTTTTTACCCTTATGTGATGTTCTACTTTTCTGAAAACGTAATTTGGGGAAATTCAAACACAAAAGCTAATAATCAACAAAATTTTGTTATATTTTTTCATTTAATTATTTAATTATTTTGCTAAGCAATTACTTTTTCGAGTAATTGATTGACAACTGGATAGCAAAAGGTGCATAATAACATTATTTTTAGCGAATATGAGCCAGCTTAAGCTAAAGCTATACCACTTGCAGAATATTGGATAGAGTATTTTCACAGAAAAATACAGGGTTTTTAACCTCTAATGCAATATATATATTTTCCTTTTTTGATGGTTATTTCAATATTAGATTAATCACAACTAATCAAATCCATTGTTTCAGCCCTAAAGGTTTTTGAATGGAATGCATCTGTATTTTTTAAAAGCGAAAAAAATGCATGATCATTACCATCAAGCTGCATTTAAAATAAAACAACTTATATGATAACCACAGCTCAAAATATGTAAACATCCTTTGCTAATAAATCATGTTTGCTTGGATTGGAGGTTTGTGGCACATTGAAATACTTGCTTAAAGGTCTGAATGAAGTAAAGGTTGTGGATGCGATTCAAATACTAAGCTAGATTCACACAGCAGCCTGAAGTGACCCAAATCCAATTTTTTGGCCATGTGTGACCTGTATCAGATCCTTTCATGGCAGTCTGAACAACACAGATCTGTTTTTTCCAATGCGACCAAGGCCACATGGCTATGTGGTCCTGAATCCGATACGAATCTGATCTTTTTAATTACGACCAGTGCCTGAATGGCCAGGTCACATTCATTCGACCTAAACATCATTATTGCTTAACAAAGGCAGCTATTCTGCATCTTGCTACGCAGAAGCGGGAAGAAAAACAACCATGATGGACGATAATGCGGAGAGCAGTCTTTATTTTCAATGCTCTTTAAAATATTTTATTGTTAATGCACTGGTTGGGGTTGGGAAAGAAATTAAGGACTGCTAGATGCGCTACAGCACTAATATACATTTTTACTTTCGTAGACACAGTGCAAGCTCGCTTGTGACGTCATTGTGTCCTCTACTGTGCATGTGGGACACTTGAGTTGTGTGAATGCAGGTCACACAGGAGATAGAAGTCGCATTTATTTGGCTACATGAACAACCCCTCATAAATAATCGGCTTCCACAAAAAAAAACTCGCAATTGATTATTAAGGCCTGCAGTGTGGAAGTAGTCTAATCAAGTCTAAGTTTAATTAGGTCACAAGTCTGTTTTAATTTAGAGGTCTAAGTGAAGTTTATCAGTAAATGGCAGAGGCCTACGTCTGAGCCCAGAGTCACGACCTGTGATAGGAGCTGCAGTGAAATCAGGTGAAAATCAAAACCTTGACTTAAAACGAGCCTCAGTATTTCTTGGCTTCCTCTTACTTTTCTTTACCTTCAGTCCTGGCTGTGTTTGAGAAGAAGAGAAAAAAACCTGGGACATTGTTGCTAGTTCTGCAATGAAATATTGATCACACAGCCTCACTGTACTGTGTATCTTCACCTCCTCTACCTGCAAGCAGATGATACCTCAGCTGCACATACACACATAAAACACTCTCAAGGGCCTAATCTCAACTGCAGCTTTACATTCCTGTTTCCCACTTTGTCTTTGATGTTCCAAACCAACCTCACAGCATCTATATATTTATCTACTATACAGACTTATGCCATTGCATCAGCAAATTTGATTGCGATCACCTTAACCACCTGCAGTAATTTCAGCCGGGTATCTTTTACCCCAGCTTCATCACGACATTATGCCGATGACAAATACAGAAGATGTGTTAACAGAACACTTGTCCAGATATCTGAACAATGAACAATCTCACAGTTCTTCTTGCAAATTATAGAGACAAAAAAGGCAGATGGACTTTCACGTTCAGTTGTTTGATGGGTGGATTAAAAAGTATTAGCAAACTCAGGAAGCCAGCAGTCACAGAACAACAGGAAGCATGTTCAAAATGAGAGACCACCATAATGGGGAAAACCATCCGCTTTTTGCTTAGTGTAAAATGAGATGGTTTCTCTTAAATTTGAAAACACTTCAAGCGAAAAAAACATGCTCCCTCTTGGCTTGTTATTGAGTACTATTGGAGTCAAAAGGGGGTAAATTGACTAAGTAGGTCGAAGAGAAAAGCATGCAGAGAAAATATGCCAAACTCAAATTCTGATTGGCCACATGGGTGTGTGTATGCTGCTTTCATAATTGCTTTCACTTTATGCTTCTACCCTCGTTTTAAACATTTGCTGTGACATTCAATGTGATTGATAGGAAAACAGATTCTTGGTGATGCAAATAGTCTTTGTGGCTCAGCACTTCACTAACCACCCCTCCAAGCCCCCATTGAGACTAGCATCTGAGAACGGTTCCTTCCACAAAAGTGTGTAAAGACACCACACCATCACTGGCAGAGTCCACAAACAGATTGCTATGAATCAAGTGAGTGAGCGGCGGCGGTACTTACCACGCTCGCTGGACAGGGTGGTATCTGTCAGAGAGATAGAGAGAGGGGGGGATGGGGGGGGACAGACAATGATCATTAGAACATAATAGGTTTGAGGAAAAGTGGCAATGCAATATTAAAGACACAGGTAAAGAGAAAAACCAGCAGATCAATTTGTAAAGATTAATGGAAAAAAACAAACGGTGGCAGGACAGTGAAATAAACAGAACATAAAGTCACTATTGAGGAAAATTTGCTGTCACATCCTCGTAGCCTCCTACATTTGTCTCTGCCTATTATTAAGGCAACACCATCTAAACAGGATGCAGGCTGCTTTTTTCTTTCTTTCTCATTTCATCCCCTCTGGCAGCAGAATATGTCTTTATCTTCAAACACCTGATGTGATCTCTTCATTGCTCCGTTTTGTCAATGAAATTTATGAGAATTGTGTAGTTCTCTCTGTGCACATTGCAACATATTACAGATTCTTGCAGTTGTACTCACAACTCTTGCACTTCTTAACTTTTGGTTCTGTTACAGCCACAAATGTAGTGATATTCCAAAGAAATTGAATGTGAAGAATGCAATATGTGTTTAATATAAAATGTAAAAAACATGGCATGTATTTGTATTGACTAATTAATGTACCCATAAGCATCTTATTGTTCTTTTAAAGATATGGTTGGATGGCAATAAAATCAAACTTTTAACACAATCTAAGCTAACAAAGCTAACAAATTAAACTAAACCAAAACATTATTTTGGCAGTTACATGTTGGGGGATGCATATCTTTAAAAGGGATGACAAAATTTGGTAAGTCACAGGGAAAATGGCTAGGCCTAAACATCAAGCAATTATCAAAGAAAACATGTTGGAGTTTGCAAAAGACTTGCACAAACAACTAGACTTTTACTTTAGATCATCCTTTTCTTTTTTTATTACTTTGTTTTGGTCCAACTTTTTATCTTGGTCCAACGTTTAACCTTCCACATACAAGCCCAATTAGATGAATTAAAGCCTATATGCAATGTGACAATAAAAGGAAATTAACAGCGGGTATGGAAAAGTTTGCTCCATTCTGCAAGTAAACGATCTATTTCCCATGCTTAGTCTGTTTCATTTGTTTCTTACAATGAATATGAAGGGCCATAAGCATGTGTAAGCTAACTAAAACAAAGTTAACAAACTCACATATGGTTTTATTTGGCTTCTATTTGACAAATTCAATTGTATATTTAAGTATGCTGCTTTTACCTAACTAATCTGGCCTAAATTAGCCATGTGTGCTGTGGTTATACAGTTCTACCTCCAGTTAAGCAAGGGTAAAAGCTTATTCAGGCACATGACACACTTTCTTTTGAACAACTACTTTTACCTCAGTAAGGTTTAATGCTTTTTACATCTTTAGAGACCTAACAGAAAACTGCAGTGCTTTCTAAACAACAGTTATGCTTGCAGACAATGTCATCTAATCCCTTTTTCAATGTATAAAGACACCTAAGTCCATCCACAGAACTTAGCTTTGCACATGTTAAATTATTCATCTCCCTCTGTCAAGAATTCAGCTGTCCTAGCACTTGCCAGTATCCCCAACACATTGGCAGGCAAGCTCATATTTGGCATATGGTGCAGAGCAGGGCTGTTCATTCCTCCCTCCTCACTTGGCCTCCTAGTCCTTATGAGGAGAACACTAACACCAGCCAGCAAGCTCGTGTATAGCCATCAATACTAGCAAAAACCCAGCTCACCCCCTTACTGAGTTGCCGGGCATCTGTCCACAACCTCTTTGCAACAGGTTTCAAGGTATTTAGCAGATATAATTGCGCTGTACATAAAAAAAAGAGAAAGACAGGAGAACAGCTACAGACTACAACTGTGGGGGGAAATACAGAAATTTTCCGAATGTATTTCAGAATTTCCCTGCAACCATTCGTATAAGTGTACTCAGGATGAGAGGAGGTAGATTGAAATGGATACGTACAGAAATTAATATATCGTTTAAGCTGATTTATACACAAATAGATGGCAGTACCTTCTTGTTATACAGTATGTGTTTAACAATAGTAACATTGAGTCCTAAGTATAATACTTTAGTCCTACTCCCCTTGCTTACATACAGTATTATTTTCAGAGTAGATTCCTATTTGAATCCCCAATTAAAACCCTTCCTTTGATGTCAGTTGCAACTGGAAATCTTTTACAACAGCTGTTCAAGCATGCTGATGATGATATGTCCTTCAAGGAAGCAATATACTTCCAGTAGGCAACAAGCAGACTGAGCATGCTAAAGTAGACTTATATATTTTGAGCTTTCCACTCTTTTCTGTCATCAAACATAAAAATAATTTTTTATTATTCTAATTTGGATTAGCGTATTTTCCAGTTTGGAACACCTGCTATTAATGGTGGTTACGACTGGGGTTGAAGAAGAAGATGGAGGGTACAGTAAATGCAATCTGCATGAAAGATAAAAGAGAATGTATCATTTCTATTTAATCTTTCATTAATTTCTGCAAGAAAACATGAAACAATCTCTGTAGAATCTGACACGATGTTTAGATAGACACTTAAGCTTCTATTTCAAATCTAGGCTGTTATCCACCCTGAAATGTTCTGTGATCTAAAACATATAAGCTCTGTTAGTTAAGATGGCGTGATAAACCATTTCAAAGGCTGCTAAAATGTCTTACAAGACTTACCCAGTAACTACATCAGTGGCTGCAACCTTTATAATATGACTGGACACTCTGAGGAAGGCAGTTATGAAATCTGTTTTACTGAAATGTGGTGTTCATTAAAACTGTGTTTCATGGTGGCTAACTAGTGTAGAAGCGCAGCAAATGACTGAATTCACCATAAATGGCCAAACACTCTGAGTAAACACGTAAGTGATGCATATTCAAAACCCCTAATTGTAACACAAAAATCCTGCAATAGAAAAATGTTGCAATCATAATTTTATTATTCTAAATGTTGTTTTCCATATTTTCAGAAAGTCATTAAGTGGTTATCCTGAATGTAGGCACAGGAGAACAGAGTTCTACCCTTTCAAGCCAAATAAATGCACAGAACATTTTAGAGTGTTACATAATTAATATTAGCTGTTGTTTACCAAACTGCATGTTAAGAAAGACATTGGATGAATCTATTGCAAAATATATGAATACACATACATGTTACTTTTTTTGGTATTTGAGGCCTAATGCAAATTTTTGGCTTCCCACTTTGACAATCACACTTGTTTTATTTTGGTGCTCCACTACTTCATTTCTAATTTCAAACCAGTGGTCCATGTCTTGTCTGGATCTAATTCACCTAGTTTATACAAAAAAATAGGTTTTTTAATAAAGCAGATTTCTGCCATGCACTTCATTATTCAAACCAAGTTATGGATCAGCCACCCACATTTTACAATATTATGGTCATGATTGTAATGATCATGAGCTTAAACAATACAAAGAGAAAATCAGTGCTATTGATTTGCAGAGTAAGCAGTCTAACTTTGCTAATCTGCTAAGAGTTGGAGAAGAACTCAAGCCTTCCACATGCAGATCATCCAAAGTTTGCAGGTCTGAAACAGGCCTACAGAGTTTACGGACAGATTCTCCAGTTAAACAATATGGATTTTGATGATTTTTTTTATATGTTGAGTAAAGACAAAGCTAATGAGATGGAACACATGGTAACATGTCTCAACTGTTGTTTATAAAGATAAAACAAGCTTTATTTTATTAATTGCTTTAACACTGAGATAACGTTAACATTCATATGTTTTCTAATACAGTATGCTTATTACATTTTGATTACCAAATTATGACCAAAAGTAATTTAATTGGAATCCTCATACCTGCTTATGTCTAGCTCACTCAGAGGAGGTAATGAATCAATTAACTAAAGGTTATTGGGTCCTGATTAAGCAAATCATTTAATAAAACACTGTTTGGACAAATAATTCTTCATGAATTTGTTTGAAAACATTCCAGTTGCTCTAAATTAGTTAAAAGCTAATTTGATCACATCCCAAAACTTTGGTTCACAAACATAAAATCCAGCTAAACTGTGATATCATTACATCATCTCATTGATTATGGTTTTCAACCATGTTTTTCCTTCTTCTTTGAACACAGTTGCTTAGTTTAGTTTCACTAGTTTTTATTCAGGATTTTCAACTGACATATCTTTGACTTGAAGCTGAATTACTTTTGGTTATAAACTATTATATTTTGAATGGAAGTTCTAGTGATTGATAATTTGAGCTGGATTCACACTTATTTGTTCTCATACAAAGCCAGTAGGCTGCATGTTCATGAACAATATAAGCCAGTCCAAACATTATCTTTTTACATAACAAATTTACCTCCCCTACTGGGGCAGGCAAAAAATATATTAAAGTTGCACAACAACATAATTGCTTCTTATGGTGTGTTCACATTGAACACGAAACCTGTGAAAAATGTATACGTTTCATGTCCTTTCGCTTGCCTTACATTTCCCAGAGAAACTTGTCTGCCCAGCAAAGGCACTTTTTTCTCTCATCACAGAGGTTTTATGAGTTCTGAAACTGGATTGATACTATTAAACTAATAGATTAGTGACAAAATCATACTAAGGCTGTAACCACATCAAGTCTTTTGGTCCCTTTGTTTAGACCAGAATCAAATCTAGAATTTAGTTTTGTAGGTTGGTGCAATACACTTTCACATTGTATATTTTGCGAGTTACCTACAGTATAATTTGCAATGAAACCAAATATGTGACATCATTGCTGCCACTGGACAAAAATTAGTAGGAGAAGAGGCCTAAATGTGGTAGAAAAAAAAATCTTTTAGTAGAAGTCCTGACTGCTGCATTTTAATGCTGCATGTTTGCAGTGTTATTGTGGCAGCAAAACTATTGTGAGTTTCTAAAGAGCAGCTCATTGAAGGCAGTTTCATCATGCTCTTTTTCTTAGGGGTGGGGTGGGGTGGGGGGTGGGTGGGGGGGGGGCTTTAAACCCTACAACACAAGCACACTCTCAGAAACACCTACTTGGATCCGGTTACTT